TTTTACTGTATCACTGTCTGTAACAGAATCACCTTGACTCAGTTGTGCAATATGTAGCCGTGTGAATGGTTAATTTTATTATTTGTCACGGGCTACCCAACCACCCCCCCAAAAAAAAAACAAAAAAAAAACAAAAAACAAAAACATCGTGCTGCAACTGCCCCACTGACCGTAGTTCGTATACCCCTGGCTTACATCGCGTGTTACTCTGTCTGAAGTCACAGCAGTTGTCGGGCAAAAATGAGGTAGATGACAGAACGCCTCTGTTGAAACAATGCGGCCACTGGCATGATTATTGATGTGAACTTTTTGATGTGCAGCCAGCAGGCAGCAACAACAACAGCAGCAGCAGTAGCAACAGCAGCAGCAGCATCCTGAGATTAGAGCCGCCGCCGCCGCCTCCCCCCACGCACACGCCCACCTCGCCAGCACAAGTCCCTGACTCAATTAGAAACAAACCCCTGCAACTTCCTGGCACACAAGTACCCACACGCGGCTCCACCCACATCACTGCCAGCAACAATGAGCGCACAGTCGGTGACTTTCAGGCAAAGGCGAATGGTCCACACACAAACACCTTTAATTACAGATCACATCTCCAGAGGCGGCGGGGGGCATACGAGGCACCTAGGCATGAGGCGCGGGCGCGCGCACACACACACACACACACACACACACACACACACACACACACACACACACACACACACACACACGCACACGCACACACACACAGATTCACAGTGTGAGCAATGTTTCACATAAGCTTCTACGTTTGAGCTTTTAGCTCTGTTCAACTGTCAGAGATGGCAAAACACTCCGTATTCAGGTACAACGGTAAAAGTAGAAACTGCACTGATTCAACTCCTATATGCGTTTTAATGGCACTGCAGTATTGCAATTTATAAAAAAAGATACCGGAATGACACAAGTAAATAGAATGTAAAAAAAATTAAATAATTTGTTTCGCAATTTTTGTTTCATTTTAACAAACATTGTGCTGCTGCTTATGGTGCATACTTTGGCCACCTGGAATCAGTGCAATCCAGATACAGTATATATGCAGTGCAGTACTTAAAACCATCCATTTTCTGATCCACTTTATCCTTACAGGGATCGTGGGGGGTGCTGGAGCCTATCCCAGCTGTCTTTGGGCAGTAGGCGGGGGACACCCTGAACCGGTTGCCAGCCAATCGCAGGGCACACTGAGGCGAACAACGATTCGCACTCACATCGAGGGACAATTTTGATTGTTCAATCAGCCTGCCATGCATGTTTTTGGAATGCGGTAGGAAAAAGGAGTACCCGGAGAAAACCCACGCAGGTACGGGGAGAACAAACTCCACACAGTAAGGCCGGAGCTGGAATCAAGCCTGGTACCTCTGCACTGTGAGGTAGACGCGCTAACCACTCGACACCGGGCCTCCCATACTTAACCCATGTACTGCAGTCGATGTAAATAAGTTTATATAGCGCAACATACAATTTTACAAAAATTGTAAAAGTATTATTCCTGAATATTTATTTTACTTTCAACCACTCGACATGTTCAGTGGCATCAGTGCTATACATACACATATAGTTCTTATTTTTTTCTTTGTATTTTTGCCCTCTATGGACAATAAAAGCGGTATTGTGCTATGACCAAAACATAAATATAAGTCTATATAAATAAAACATGAATTGGAATATTTCATATCACACAATTTTTATGCTTTGTCTTTGATGTAAAGATGACAATACGCAAAAATCTACAAAAATTGTAGAAATTGTAACACAAGGGCTACAGCCGTCTGGCCAATTTAAGACCTTGCGTTTGTCACCGCTGTGGATGATTGGCTGTAAGAAGTTACTTCATTTTGCAGGTGCCATCTTGCAGCTCTTCACCTGCTGGTGTGGAATTCATTGTCTTTTCGGGAATCTTTCATCATTTATTGAACAAATACCGCGAAAATGAGCAAATATGTATAGTTGTAGGATGCCACATGTGACGGGGCAAATGCGTGAAGCTCCACAGATTTCTCTGATCGCCAAAAGATGGAAAGGATGGGCAGAGAAAGCGCGTTGCTAGGATGGTTGGAAACCAAGTGACAACTCCTCTTTTGTGATGTAAGTTTATTTATTCTCCCTTATTCTCTCGGGTGTAGGTAACAAACGATGAATACAAACCAATAGACAAGGCATAGGAGTTAGTTTAGTGCTCTCACATTTCAAAAATTGGTTACGGTGTAAAAGATTACTGTGTCTATTCCTCTTGAAATGTTTGTGGACTTAGAAGGTAAAAAGATGAAAAAAAAATCGATTTAACATTGGGGACCAAGCCACCAAGCTAAATGTCCACAATACAAGTGGAGCCCCAAATGCTGCCCTTGTGGCCAGACAGGCCACAACAGGGAAGGCAAACCAGGTCACAGCTCAGGGCCCCAAGGCTTGGGACCTCAAGAGATGGCTGATATTGGCTCTTATCACAGACACACACAACAGGCGCTGCTTTAGACACTGCAACGAAAATGTGTTTGAAATTCTCCGCTTACATGCTGATGCTGGCTAGAAGGGGGCCTGACAGACAAGGCTGATATTGGTCTACATTAACAAGTGTGAATTAGTTAAAAACAATTTTATTTGGGGCAGGGGCGGAGGTTCTGTGGGCCTTCCTGTCTGAGGGCCCCAGGGGTCTAGAAAAGCCCCTATTCTGCTTCTGAAGCATTCTTCAATTCTGGTTGCAAAGCAGGATCTTGAGTCTTGGGGGGACACGCACATTACACACCAACTAATTCACTTAGACTTTTTTTTTTAAACAATAGTCTACTTTTTTGAGGAAGCTTAATACTGTCCTCCCCACACACACACACACACACACACACACACACACACACACACACACACACACGGCAATCATTTGTAGGCGTATCATGACCTCAATAACCTTCCAGAGGCACGCCACTGGGGCCTTGAAAACAGCGATCCTTCCAGTGCGCTACTGCCACCAAGTGGTCACCGACACAACTTCAAAAACATTCTGCAGGGAAGTAAATATTTTGGCATTGCGGAGGGAAGGGAATATTTTTACATTCAGCGAGGCAAGATCAAGATCAGACAGATGGAACAAGCCTTCAGCACTACATGTACAGTAGTGGGAATTCTTTGGCATTTTATTTTAAATGGTCACTTTCAGTGAGCTGAGCGCTTGACGCCATGATTCTTTTCCAAACTGCAGTCACCACATCTCCAATGCATGATATAAGCTATTTGAAATAACTGCAATGATAAGATAGTTTGAAATACTGTTTCAAGCATTACAGTGCTTCGCTGGGAATGTGGAAGACAAGGTGATCAAAAATCGACTTTTGTCAAGCAAACCGCAATGTTGATGTAAAAACTGGTTTCACATAAAACAGCTCGGAAAAGCCTGAAAATAGACTCAACTCATCAGTTACATTTAAATTAAATCACCATCATATGGTATAACTTATGAAAGAGGCACTTTGTCATCACCAGAAGGATTTACAGTCTTAAAAGTGACAGCAAATTCAACTACGGATATTTGAAGTTGTTTTTTTCATCCGCAGTCTGCTGCTTTTTGTTAGAGTCTGTTGGTGCTGTGGGGGTGGGGCTCGGTCCGGCTGTGGGTACGATGTCGCATTCGCCAGCGGTTCTGTGTGTTGCCTCCACTGCCGCTCCATCATGAGGAACCTGGTCGTGAAGACGAGAAACAGCTTACACACGTCGTCCATGTTTGTGCTTGAACATTCACGTCACGAAGACCAGTGGCACAAAGACATCTTCATGCACGATCAGGGCATGCATATATGACGATGACGGGCCGCCAGGGACATGATGCAGAATTTCCTCTCGCACACGTGACTGAAATACTCTCACAACACACCACTGAAGCACTTCCATACAGGCGACTAAAAGACACACAGTATTCTGTGGTTGAGAGCCAAATTGCCAGAATCTTTCTTTTGTGTGTGTTGTGGCTTGGTTGCTCTGTCTACAACTATACCACTGTTGTATGGTGTTCCACGGGGTTCAATTTTGGGGTTACTTCGGTTTTAAATGTATTTAGGGGTGTTCACACGGCAACATTTGCTCCGGTGCTACGCCGGCGCTGCGCCAGTGGAGCGGTTACACGTGCAAATTTGCTCCGGGGTAGCCCCGGAAAACAGCTTACCCCGGAGCAAATTTGACCCACCTCAGGGAGGTGGTTTAAAAATTTGCTCCGGAGCAAATGCTCGTTTACGGAGCAGCACCGATGTAAATTTGCACGTGTGAACTCTCCAATTTGCTCCGGAGCAAATGCTCGTTTGCGCGGGGGGGAGGGGGTGGGGGAGTAGCCTCACTACGCATGAGAAGAGTTGATTACGTACAGAGAGAATATGTTGCTTTCGTGCTCTGTTGGACTTCCGTCATGTATTTGTTTAATAACGACACAAGACATGGCTGGTAATAGTAGCAAGCACCTCTTGGGTTATACCATCTCAACTAGAATGGGGGGGGGGGGGGGGGGGACCCATCTTTCCTTTTGTAGGAGACTGGACTGTCTCGGAGTTGTTTGTGTAGTTTGTTCCTTTGTTGTGTGTTTACAACCCCCCGCCCCCCCATAGAATTTATTTTGTGATTTCCTCTCTTGATTTTCTGTTTGGCGCATTACATATTTGCTTTTCTGAGTGTCATTGAAGTCATCGTTGATTTCCGTTTTCGGGGGCGGTCACTCTCGAGCTGAAGGCACGGAGACCGAGAAGGAGAAGGACGTGCCTGTACAGTAGTTGCTTGAGTTGTGTATAAGTTTTAAAAAGAACCAACATGACAGCTCATTTGTTTTCTGTCGTTTTGCTCTGCTGCAGAAACTGCCATGTGACCGCAAGTGGAGCTGCACCGACACTGCGCCGGTGCTAACACGCTCAACGACTTTGTACGTGTGACCGCTCCACAAAATTTGCTCCGGTGTAAAATATATCGCAACAAAATACATCGGTGTAGCGCCGGAGCAAATGTGTGCCCTGTGAACACCCCTATTGCTGCCCCTTGCTTGGATCTTAAGGAAGCATGCTATTTCCTTACACTCCTCCACCCCTATGCATCTGCCCAGCACCTCGGGTCAGCTGATCAGATGCTACTGGAGGTTCAAAGGACTAAGCAGAGCCTCAGAGGCAATCGAGCTTTTTCCATTGCTGGTCCCTCTCTTTGAAAGTACCTCCTGCTTAATGTTAGGCAAGGCCCCTTTCTGTCTATTTTTAAAACTAGTCTTAAGGTACATTTTTAGATTAATAATGTCTTGTTTTAACTCTATTTTTGTATATCTGAATTTTAATGCACGTGGAGCACTTTATATGCAGTGGTGGTTGTTATTAACATGCTCTATAAAGAAAGTTGAGAGCCATGCTCATGCACACTACTGAAACACTCTCAAGCTCATATATACAACTGAAATGCTCTCAAACATGATTTAAACACACTCACAGAGTACTACTAAGTGAAATACTCTCAGACACAATACTATAATGCTGTCACGCACTACGTAAACTAGTTATTCCCACACTACTGAAATGCTCTCTTATTTACACAGATGAATTTCTCTTAGACACGCAAAAAATCCTCTGATACGCATTAATGGAAGACTAATACATAGTGCTGAAACACACTACTGACAAGGTTGTCACACACATGACTGAAATATTCTCACACAAAAATGCAACACTTTAATAAACACAACAGAAACACTCTCACACGACTATCTTGCTATCAAAATGATTTTTCCCACTCACACACTATACTAAAATTCTCTTTTAAACACAACATAAATGCTATTACACACTACTTTATAGCTTTCATACACAATCTGGAAATTGCTCTCACATTCTTGTGAGTCTCACATATGCACCTGAAAAACTCATATACCTTACTAAAATAATATATTTCAGTGAGCAGATTTCTGCATGTGTGAGAGGATTAGTTTTTTGTATAAGATCATTTTAGAAGTGAGTGTAAGGAAAAAATAATTCTGCAGTGTGTGTGTGTGTGTGTGTGTGTGTGTGTGCGTGCGTGCGTGTGTGTGCGTGTGTGAGAGCATGTCAGTACTGTACCAAGTATGAATGCGTTTAATGTGTGACAGGTAGTCCTGAGGTGTGTCCCTGAAGGCCTCCTTATGTACAACACAGCCTAGCACCCCACCCATGCAAAAAACATGACTGTGGTAACAAATGTCTCACCTCTCTGCGGCGAAAGGGACCAACCGGTAAGAAAAGGAAGCAGAATGTAAGAGTGATATCATCGCACAGGAAATTATGGTTGGGCCACACTTTCTGTCAATATACAGCACACGCTAACTTGCAAATCAACTGAATGAAGGGTGCGTATCTGAAGACGCACAGCATTTTCAACATAACATCACACAAAATTGGTGGGTGGCAATTAAAGAGTAATTTAGCCTTCTTCTCTCCCGCTGTACTTTTAATATGTGAATCGTCAGTCGAATACAATTTCACAACAGCTGCAGGCATTGTGAAAGTGCTTTCCAGAACATTGAACAGAAATGTTACAGAAGGTAAATTGCTTCAAAGGGAGACGGAACTCCGGCTATAATTAACATTTCAACAGGTGAGTTAGATGTGCTGGAAACTGAGATCCTGGAGGCGTGACCCACCTCGCCCTTTTACTCCCAGCTAAGTAAGCAATCTGACTCACTCCAACGAACGGGTCAAATAAAGAAGGCTCATTGAGAGCTGGAGATGGGGATTTTTGGATTTTTTTAAGATATTGATGAGCAAAATTTTCTTTACAGCGCCAATGAGATGTCTTTCAGTGAGAAATATGGATTGGGAATGCATACAAACATTCTCATATTGCAGGGGTGGCCAACCCGCGGCTCGCATGCGACTCTTTGGTTGGTGCAGTGCGGCTCCCAGGCTTTCACATGACAAGCGTCGTAAATGCCTCGGCGGTGGCGCTGCCATTCAAACAACAGCTCTAAATACACAGAACTAACTACGTCGGCCTATCATCAATCCCGTTACTTGATTCACATACAGGGCAACCAATCAGATGACAACTGAATCACCGCTCATGCGCAAACAATGGTGCTCGGCGCTAAGCTTGTCATCTTTAAAGTTAGGGGTGCCCAATACGTCAATTGCGATCGACCCGGAGCCAGCGGACTGGTCCCAAGTCGAGCGAGAACGTTGGGAGGAGGAAATGTGCGTGACGCGGCTCTTTGCAGTAACACAGTAAAAAAAATTGGCTCTTAGTCTCTGACTGTTTGGCCACCCCTGTCATATTGAATGCAGTCGAAAAGTGTTTGGTGCGGCAAGACCTGGGACAAACATATTCGATTACTGGGATGGATGTAGGGCCAGAAAGTGGGAGTTGTGAGAGGGGGCACAGATCCATTTACGTATATAAACACCAATATATACCAAAACCAAAGCGGTTCAGATAATGGATGGATTTTGCAAATCGTGCCCGAAGCATGACCATAGAATTAAAGAAGTGCTTAATTAAAAAATGCAAAATTAGAAACATGGCTCTTGCAAGTACCATGATCATAGAAGACAGATTGCATTGCATTATTATTTTTGAAGGAAATCAAATTTAAATGAAATCTTTGGAGCCGTATCTGGTGAGTTTTTGTCAGGATTTTCAGTTTAGGTCAACATTAGTCACTTGTGTTCTGCCACTTGGAAGGCCTATGAAACCAAACAGAACCTAATAAAGTGAAAGGTTTTCCCCTCAGACACTAAAAAGACTTAATAAGAATTGATACGAATTGCCAAAGTGACACGACTCACCTGTAGGCGCTGAGTCTCACGTGGCGACTGTCCACTCTTTGCCATCTTCACCATTTCTTTGATCTGGACAATAGCAAAGGCAATGGTGACCCAGGGGGCACCCGAGAGCACCCAGGCCGGCCGGGCGATGTCCTCCTGCTCTTCTTGGTACTTGGTCTTCTTCACAGGAAGAGGGGTGACCTGCTGGTGGAGGGTGGGGTTCCCTCCTTGGTCCCTGCTTTGGTTCTCGACCAAGTCAATGGTGGCAATGGGAACAGGGCTGGAGGGGACTGGAATGTTCTCTGCCAGCATTTTAGCCTCTAGTGAAACAAAGTAGAGAGAAGAAAAGGCAAAAGGTTGCATACAAGAAATAAACACAATGTAAAAAAAAAAAAAAAAAAAAACCCGCAAACTACAACTGAAACAAACTGTTAAAAAATAAATTAAATTAATACATTGTAATGAACCTGCTCTGAAAACCACAACTAATCACAGAAAATATAAAAACCAAAAGTCAAAACGTAATGAAAACTAACTACTGTATGATGAAAATTCCAAAGCTAAGTATAACCCACATGGGGCCTGGCACTACCTAAGGGTTTGCAAAGCAGGAAGTTACCCACCGTTTCCTTCCGTTTGGCCTGTCAGACACTGGATGAGGACGAAGATGAGGAGGATGATCAGGGAAGCCATGCCAATCCCCCGGAATGACGCTGCAGCGCCTGCAAAAATTGAAAGCAGTGACATTAGTTTTGCTTCGTCGTGTTGTCACACATGACAATGCACTGCTCCATGACTTTTAACTACGTATGAATCGGTGTGGGTGCACGCTAACGGTTATGATCTTGTCACTAGGATTGCAAACTTCCAAGAATTTTTCAAGTTGGAAACTTTTCTTGGGAATTAATCTATGGGAACCAAACGAACGGAAGGAACCAGGAATTTACAAAACAGCAGCTTGGAAATTAACAGGGAACTTCAATAGATTTGGTGAAATTCTATTTTGGCATAATCCTGACAACCTGATGTCATCCAAGTGTAGTGCTACCTTGACCTGAAAGTTGCCCAACTTGTTTTCTTTTTTGTTTCCCAGTAATGAACCATCATTTAGTATTTTGATTTGTGTAAGAAGGCAAAATCAGGGTAACGTGCAAGCTTCAGAGACGATGCCGCTCAAGTGAAGTGACATTAAAGCAGCAGAACAATTAGAGTACCGCAGCGTCCTTTCAAGTGGGCAAGAAGAGCCATCTACTTTGCATTGATGACTGCTTATAACAAAACACAAATACAAAGTATAATACATAAAATCAATTATGTAGAATACCTTTCCATTAAAATAAATTCAATTTTGGGTTAATTCCAGTGGAAAATATACTCTAAATATAGTTTCGAGAATTTCAAATTCCCAATTTAAATTCCATTGGAGATTCCCCACCTTGGAGCCTACTTGTTTTGTGATAACTTTAAATTTAGGAGCTGCCGACCACGGCATAACTTTAAAGACGCGTATCAAACATTTTTGTAACAATACGCTGTAAACCTCTATTTGTCTTTAGCTGAGACAACTGCACACTGTGAAACATCCACATGGAGGCAAGCACTTAGCAGTGAAAATAAACGACATCTTTCAAAACAATACTTCCTTCAAAGTGAGGATGATCTACCTCAGGGATATCATTTAAGATTCACACGCAGGAATGAATCACAGATGAATGAGAACATCGTACCAAAATATCCGACCAGGAGCCCCCCCACCATGGCCCCGCAGCCGCGGCCCAGCCCGAGGTGAAGACCCTGCAGGATGCCCTGGGCGGACGTCCTGAGAGCTGGCGGCACAGCGGCGCTCAAGTAGGAAATACAAGCGGCCCAAACAGAGGCGTGGGTTACACCTGCAACGCAACCACAGGTGACATGACATCCAAAACATACACTAACTTCTTCGCCTGTGAAACAAACAAAAAACAGTCACTTCTTTTAACTATATTTAAAAAAATGTTTGGAATACATGTCTTATTACAAGAGAATTCAGAATAGTAATAGTAGATGCAGATTATTTGCTTGACAGGCCACGTAAAATGAGGCGGCGGGTGAGTTCGACATCTGTGCCCCAAAACATTGATGCGCGTGATGTTACCTTGAAGGACCTCCACTGGCAGCACAGTCCAGGCATTCTGTAGGTACGAGATGTAGAGGTAGCGCGCAGTGTTGCAGCCCAGCCCAATGTAGAGCACCCTGAGGGCGAAAACACGTTGGCAGTTTCAACGTTAAGGTAACGTCTTTATGTTGATGACAGTCAACGCTGTCCTACATGAACAAAGCAATCGAAACACGCCCAAGAGTTAATTGCTTTCGAAGGCTTCGACCACAAATCCATCAGGAGACGTTTGCTCAGAACACACACAACATGTTTGCAGACACGCACATTCAAATGACAGCTCGGTATGACCTTTTAAACGGCAACACCATGTCATTGCACTGCTTCAACTTAGTTATTTGTGTCGTCTCGTAAAGATTACGGTCGTGTCATTTTGCTTTAACGGCATCCACATAGAATGTGAAGGCCCGGAAGAAGGACATCTAACACATACTCCAAAATGTTGCAGCGGATTGCAGTTTCACCATCACATCAGTGAAAGATGGACAGATTTTGGATGTTGTTGAGATCCTAGTCAAGGTGCCTTTGAGCACAAAACGGACAACGCTCCAAACGACGGGTGTTCAACACCTTTGCTTCTCGCAATTGTGAAACTGAAATTGTGGGATTCAAAATTGCAGTTAACAAAAATAGGAACTTAATTTATTTTTTAAAAAATGTGATGAATGGGCACTAAATCTATTGAATGACATCTAATAGTTCACAGGGGAGTAAAATTAATTTTGCCATGGACTACTTCTTAATTGTGGTTAAACTGTGAAAATAATGTAAAATCACCTCATGCCGTGTACACAATTGCCCCTATATTTGATTGATACTTTCCCAATCCACTGATTCTCCCACCAGTTGGTCGAGTTATCAGATAATGATTTTTCATTATTAAATACAAAAACATGCATGTAAGGAGCAAAGTATGTATGCCTTTAAATGGGGGGGGGGGGGCTGGCATCGTGAGTGACATTGGTGTCAGCGAATGAAAGTGTCAAAGTGGTTGGCTGTTATCTGGCAAACCTGTTAGCTAGTCTACATGGGGTGGTGCTTGCAACTGTAGTGTCATTAGTCCAAGTGGGAAAATAAGTCCTGCAAAGCTTTGGAGCAGGAGGACTTTACACTCACTTTTGGACTGGTCGCACTGGTGCGACCAGCTTTTTCAGAATTGAATATATACAGTACAGTACAGCTTAATTTATAAAGCGCTTTCACAACAGCTGCAGCTGTAACAAAGCACTTCACAGAACATTGAAATACCACGTCCAAAAAATCTCACACACACACACATACAAATTTTACATACACATGGATATATACAGTATATGAATAGATATACAGTGATCCTCGCTATTTCGCGGTTCGTTGATCACGGCTTCAGTGCATCACGGATTTTTTCAAACATATTCATAAAAAATAAATAAATAAATAAAATTCATATACATGGAGTACAGTACTGTATATGTTGCTCTACGTGACTCGCTGTTATTTTGCTGACTTTCCCAGCTTCTCGCGGACCGTTTGCGGACTTAAAAAAAAAAAAAAAAAAGTAAATTATGTTAATTGGTCGCTACTTCGCAGATTTCCGTTTATCGCGGGTGGTTTTGGTCCCCATTAACCTCGATAAACGAGGCATTACTGTGTACAGTATATACATAGATACAAAAGTGCTAGTTAAATTAGATGGCCGTACACATCCAGATATTTATTTATGTAATTTATGCAGGAAGGTTTTAACCTGACGTACACTCCACCTTATGTGTGCAGTGTGACAGACAGAGTTGGAGCGCCTCCGATGATATGTACCGGGAGGAGCCTTAAATCATGCACTCGTGCTGTACAACAGGATGAAGTTTTTACGAGCACACATTGAAAAAATTATGAGCATTTGCGAGCATACTGGTCGCATTTTTGAGTTCTGTCCGGAGTTTGTGCTTTAATGTTTGATTTGGGGGGGGTCTGACACCAGGGCCTTGAGTGGGATCTCTCGTCTATACATCCATCAAATTCATGTAAATGAAAATGTTGTGCATGTACACGCTCAAGATCTCACCTGATATGTCCCACCAGCTCAATGAACTTGTGGCTGGTGAAGTAGGCGCCGAGCTCCGAGACGTGACTCAGGACAGAGCAGATGCCAAAGAGCGTGTAAGTGCCATGAAGATCCTCCAGGTGCCAGTACAGGAAGCTGAAGACAAAGCCGTAGCCGAAGCCCATGAACCAGGCCACAAATAGAACCGAGCTGTAGCGCACGCTGCACAGCAGCTTCAGAAGGTCGCTGTAGTGGAATTCCTGATCGACGACGGTGCTACTGTCGGTCGGGTTCAAATTAGATGGCGCCCGTGGGCTGTCTGTATCTTCAGCGATACCCTCTGGAACCTCCTGCCGATATTCACCACCCGTTTCAAAGTGGAACTGAGTGGCTACAACAAAGGCCGCACCCATAAGCACACCGAAGACGATGAAGGCGATCTGATAGTTGCGAAAGTCGGGCACGATGCAGCCAAGGCCATCTACTATGCCGCTGATGTGCGTGTGGTCAATCCAGATGCCCACCAGCAGCATGGCCAGCCCCCAACCCAGAGAGCCCCACATCCTCTGCAGGCCGTAGCGATCGCGGGCCTTGCCGAGGTACTGCAGTGTGACCGTGTCAACAATGGTGACGGCCGGAGCGCTGAAGAATTCGCCCACGATGATGAGCAGTAAAATAATGAGGAAGATGTTCTCCACTTGGGCGTTGTCGTAGATGATGTGGTGCTCCTTGGGACTGATTGTCGGAACAGGCATGACAGTTGTAGTAGTGGTGTTAATTGTTGTATCGTTGATGCTTCGCTTGGTTCTGGGGACTGGGAACTGAGTGAGCCAGTGGAGGTCAATGAGGCTGCGGCGAATGCGGTCGCTGGAGTTACTCTCCTTTGTGACATTTCCGGGCGGGAGAGCACTGGTTGCCGGCGGCCGCGTGGTCACGTCGACACCCTCCTCCACACATTTCATGTCGGCTGGCTTCACAAAGCCGATGCCGCAGTTGAACAACAGCCAACAGGAGACCGAGAACAGCAGTACCGCCTTCCCCTTCTTGAAGCGGTCGGCCACAAGGCCCCAGAATGGCGCGCTGCAGAACTCGATGAAGTAGCGGATGCCCACCAGCAAGCCGCTGCGACTGGCTGACATGCCCAGCTGCTTATAGTAGACCGCAAGCAGTGGGTGCAGGGAGCCATAGGCGGCGTAGAAGAAGAAATAGAAGATTTTCGAGATGAGGAGCTGAATGTTGATGCGGTGCAAGATCCTCTGACAGCAGTTCAAGGAGCTGGACGGCCTGGATTGTGAGTTCACAGGCAGCTCGGCTGAGGAGTCGATGGAAATAGGAGCAGGAACACTTGTCTGCTGCAATGACAGTTTGTTGAAGGCTCCCTCTGGCACCGACTTGTCCTGTGACTCCTCCTCATCGTCGTCGGTCAGGATGGCAACCTTGTCATCAGCTGGCATATCTGGACAATTATGAGATGCAAATATTCGGACCTTGATATTCCAAAGCAATTTTCTAATCCAAAATACTCTCATCCCCTTGACTAAGTTGAGTGCACAAACGTTTGCAAAGTTTTTACATTTAAAAGCCCTCACTTGGTCAACTTTTTTTTTTACCTGTTTAGTAGCCAAAATGTGACTTTTGCGTAAACTTCAAGTACTTTAGTGAAGTGGAAACAAGGAGAGCAACAGTCAGACACATTTTCAGCTTTTCCTTAATGAGATTAATGCACAAATACAAATCGAGAACACTCCCAAAAAGCATTGGGAAGAGGCGAAAACTGAACTAATCTTGTGGTAAGTGGCCAACAGAATTTACTGCACGCAAAACAACACACAAATGCACTAATGATACTCACACTGCTGCAAGTGGTACATGCATGGCTATTAGGGATGTAACGATTCATCGAAAAGACATTTAAAATCCATTTAAAGTGCTTAAAATATGCATCGATGTAAATATCAACTGTATATATATATATATATATATACATATATATAAACATTTTGATTACAAAAAACACTGATAAGACAAGAATGTAGTTAAGCAGTCAAAATTATTCGTTCGTTTTCAAGTTTTTTTGTTATGTTACAAAAGGTTACTGTTTGTAATGAGGACAAAATGCAGGTGTTAAAATAAAAACATATTTTGGTTATAAGATGAGTCATTCATTTTGTTAACACATACATGACTTTTTAGCCGATTATATACAAATATCTACACGAGGTTAAACATTTGTGAATAATTCCCAACACAAGCCGTGTAAACACAGCAAGCCGGGGCCTCTTGAAAGGCACCGAGATGCCCGTGCGCCGCAATTTGGAATTTATCCCTCACTCGCTCTGTTGCGGAAGTGCTTTTTTCCTTTCCTATACAACCCCTGTACGATACAAGTGTACAGTACATCAGCCAAAACGATGAGATATTTGGACAGTTGTGCCACATTTGATCCATCAAAGAAACGGATTTTAGCAGCGAAAAATATTGTGTGAGAGAGGCAATTTCCTGGCAAATGCAAATGGGGTGACAAATAACATGTCAACCGCTTACCTGCTTAGGTCACCGATCCCATTCACGTCAAACTATTTGCACTTTCTCTTTGAGGTTTTCGCTCTCTGGTAAGACATTTCACTAACGAAATGCTATAGAATTTCTGCGTTTATCGCTTTAATCCAATCCAAGTCGCCGTACTGTGTAAATTAAGTACGAGTATCTATTTGTCGCCGGCTCGTTTGTCTTTTTCGCGTGAGCTCGTCTAACCGGAGTTCCCACCTGTCCCGCACCAACATCAGCGTCAGTTCACCCATGGTGGATGGAATACATTTCCGGAATTTGCTTTCAAAATAAGAAACTTTGTTCCACTACGTTTGAACTGCTTTCACATAAAGAAGTAATGCTGACTTATCATTGCATTTTGGAATATGTCTGAAGTCTAATTCTGTATTATTAGTGGTATTATTATGATTATGTTTTTGCATACACGACATTTTACCTGACAATCATTTGGACTTTTCAGCTGCAGAAGGTAATAGCTTTATTTTTTTTCTACATCCGGTACGGATGTACGGATCAAATCCGGTTAACTTCATTGCACTAGTCGAATAAAGGGAGCCTCCCAATTGTATTAATAAATGAACAATGCAGACCGAGACTGGAGACGCTGCCTCGACCGTGTGACGCATATTTCTTTTCTTTCATTCATCGCGACTGTGAAAATAAAATCATAAAAATAACACGCTATGGTCCGACAGAAACGTATCAACAACAGCGGATACCACGTCCGAATTGAACTCAAGTTATACGTATTTAATTTAATAACGATATTGAACTGAAATAATCTAAACCAAAACAAGAACTCTTCTTAGAGACTATCCTATTGAAAATATTAAGAATTAAATATGTCCAAACGCATCCTGCACACAAGATTTGCATTAAGTCATGTTACCTACAGGGGGCGATGGAGACTTTGACTGTTTTGCCAGTTTACGTGACGTCATTATGATTTTTTTAATAGGATGCAAATATGAAGGCTCTTGGCCTTGTAGTCAGATGAATTATGAAGGCAAATGTTGATTCCCAGTCAGTCATTGATGTCACTGTTATTTTAATGAAGCGCTTTCCTTCAATACTGCAAAAAAGTATAACTGTCTGTATGACACAAAAGGCTTGAAAAGGTATAAAAGTAGAACAATCAAGGAAGGTATTTTTGAGTAAAACAAATCCAAACTAGAATAATGTGGTTTTATTGGGAAAATGAAGCAAAAAAGAAGGATAGGATATGCTTCGTGCAGCAATACAAAAGTATATACCAGTACAATGGTACCTTGACTTGCGAGCAAACACCCTCAGACCTCAGAACAGTCATCTTTCTTCATTGAAATGGATGGAAAGGCAATGAAAAAAATACATTCAAAAACTTTTTTCAATTTGATATATATATATATATATATATATATATATATATATATATATATAAATGAACTAAATTATAACGAGAGAGACAGATATATAGATATATCTATATCTATCTAGCTATCTATCTATCACTCTCTTTCTCTCTCTCTCTCTCTATAGATAGATAGATAGATAGATAGATAGATAGATAGATAGATAGAAAATAGCATCGCTGATGGTGTAGTGATACACTCGCTTGACATGTTTATGGGCAGCATGGGATCAGTTCCCACTCCGTGACGTTGTGGATGTGAACGCGAATGGTCATTTGTCTCTGTATGTGCCCTGCAACTGACTGGCGACCAGTTCAGGGTGTTGTCTGCCTTCTGCTTGAAGTCAGCTGGGATAACGACTCCTCGCGACCCTCTTCAGGATAAGCGGTGTTGAAAATGGATGGATGGGTGGATACATAATAGCACTCAACAGTATTCCATGCATCCATTTTCTGATCCGCTTTATCCTCACAAGGGTCGCGGGGCGTGCTGCAGCCTATCCGAGCTCTCTTCTGGCAGTAGGCGGGGGACACCCTGAACTGGTTGCCAGCCAATTGCGGGGCACACAAAGACGAACAACTATCCGCGCTCACACTCACAGCTAGGGACAATTTTGAGTCTTCACTCAAACTGCCATGCATGTTTTTGGAATGTGGGAGGAAACTGGAATACTCGGAGAAAACCCACGTAGGCCTCAACGGTATTGTACCATTTAATAATAAAACCACAATAATGCCATAATTAATCAGGATGTAGATAATAAAACAGTTTATGCTAATATTTTTCATGCTTTGATTCAATAGTTAATGTCAAAATCCTTCTAGGCCGAGGATGCAATCTAACATGCTCAATTTGATGGTGGAATGCGAAGATGAAAGCTGCAGTTGCAGACCACTGTTAAATTCTGTCTGCATGTGTTGCTGCACAGCTTGTATTCCAATGTCTGTTGTTTAAAACTACACCGATGCAAGTTTTGTCAATGTATGGCATTTCATATTGCGTGTTACGTTTTATCAATTGGGTAATTACACATAATGTAATTATCTTAATCACTGCTTGCAATGTTGGACAAAATAATGTAGACTGACGGTTTGTATCTTGAAAAACTCATAAGGTCTGTCACTTGAAAGTTTATGTACCAATGTGTTACCAATATATTTTCTCAACTGAAATGAATTCAAACACCTTAAATCCAGTCCAGCCCCCCAAAAATATCAAATTTTTTTGTTGCGTGTTTTTAATAAAGAAAAATTGGATGGAAGGCTGCAGCATAAAAACATAATAGAATATAATAAGAGATATAAATTTCTCTAACGTGCTATTATTGTCCACATATCCAGAATAACCAGTTCAAAGCAAGCAAGCTGGTGACATCATAACTGGTTCAAAGCATTTCAATACAGTCAAAATGTGCGGATTAATGTTGAATTAGCATTCCATGAACGAGTCAGCAATCTGTTCACCCTGTGACAATTACAGTGGATCAACCGCTTCCGCAGAGTGAACATCTAATTGTACTACTTGTGCTGACGTACCACTCCCACAGCACACGACTTGCATACCTTTGACAACGCATAAGTGACAGTAAAAACAGTAATTGCCATCGACCGTCTATAAATGTATGTGCCAGAAAGACAATCTACACTGTATGGTAATTTAGTGGTAACCTCCCATTGTAATGCAGTTTCCAGTTGACAACCGTTATCTGTCAAGAATCAACTCCTTCCTGGATCACTACGCTACGATTTTAGCCGCTAGGCCCTCCAGCACAACACTGCCAAAACCAACCATCCAGGGTCGACTGACACCACCAGCTGAACTCCAGGTGTGCCTTTGCTCTACATACAGTACATGTGCTTAATGACCGGACTCATCCAGTGCTGACTTTCACCTATAAGTACTAGTGCCGGATTGCAAGGGGCTACCATTACCGCCATTACTCGTCAGTCAAGGTACCACTACAAAGGAAAATGAAAAGGATCAATGTCAGTAGTCCGACTCGTCTGATAGCTCTCCCTGCTGCGTCCAGTGCTTCCTTCTCTTCTTCCGTTTCCTCTTCCTCTCCCCCATCAGCATGGCGGCCAGCACCGTTATGACCACAGTCACGGTGATGATGAGCACTGTGACCGTTTCAGCAATGCACAGTTCCGTATCCACCTGGATCAGCCGGAAGTTGCGCAACACTGCGGGCTGTGCGCACGTCAGGTTGTAGTAGTCATCCAGGAAGAGTCTCTGGATGCTCCTCAGCTTGCGGAAAACTCTCTGCAGGTCACAGTCACAATTCCAGGGGTTTCCCCCCAGCAGGATGTGGGTGCTGTATGTGTGAATGCTCAGGAAGGTCTTGAAGTATATGCTGGTCAGCCGGTTGTTGGCCAGATTGAGGAGGGTCATGCTGGTGAGCGGCTTGAAGATGCCTGCCTCTGTCTCATTTATGTGGTTGCCGGCCAAGTTGAGGAGCTCCAGCGAGCGCAGCATGGAGAAGATGCCATTGTTCAGAGAAGTCAGCCGGTTGCCCTCCAGGTGCAGATGTCGCAAGATGCTCATGGAGGCGAACGATCTGACCTGGATGGTGCGGATGCTGTTGCCACTAAGGTTCAACTTCTGCAGGCTTTCCAGGTGTGTGAAGCTGCTGCTGTCCAGGCTGCTCAGTGAGTTGTGAGCCAACTGCAGTTCCCGCAGGAAGGCCAAACCCATTGAGAAACCCTTGGCCAGGGTGGCGATCCGGTTCCAGCTGAGGTCCAGCTTCTGTAGGAACTCCAGCTGTGAGAAGGCGCCATCTTGCACCACGCTGATGTTATTGTTCTGCAAGAGGAGCACACGCAGCTTGCGGTTCTTGTTGAATGAGCGCTCAGGGATGACGACGATGCGATTGTGCGACACGTCCAATATTTCAGTGTTGGATGGGATCCTGCCAGGCAGCTCGGTGAAGAAGGCTCGTGAGCAGATGGCGAACCTCAGATCACCACGACAATCACAACCCAGCTCACACCAGTTGCTGTGAGAGCGTGAGGATGTAGCTGACACAGTCAGCAGGATGAAGATGAAGTCCCTCATGGTTCTGCACACTTACACTGGCAAAAGAAAACAATATTTAATACATACAACTGACTTTGAAGATGTGCTAACCACAACAGTGTCAAGTAAGATGAAAATCACCGATTATTAAGATCATAGAATTATTAAATATTAATTGTCTAATTGTGCTACAGTAACATTTGTATAATTTTTTTGACTGTTTTTTGTCTTACGTACAGCTGCTTCTCTTCTTCCGACCGCCGTCGACATCCAGCAGGCAGCAGGTGGAAACTAGACATGCTGCAAGTGAGGGAGGTGGGCGGTCACTTGGATGGAAATCCTAATGAGGGACACTACAAAGAGGTTGGAAGGATGGAAAGACACACAGCAGTGAGGGGAGGAGAGCTTGTCAATTATTTACCAGGCCATGGGAGGGCGGGCCAAGCTGTGGGTGGGGGAGGAGGAGGGAGGGTAAGTAATTGATGGCAAAGTGAGTTGCAGAGCAGAATTAGAAGGCCCTACTCAATGGATTGAAAGAAGCTCTTAATCTCGACCATTTCATGGAACATATGTGCAGAAATCTCCCTCCTATGAGGAATTTGCATGCAGATGCAAGCGAAACTAAAACAAAGCTTTTTCTCATAAATAAATGAAGAAATAGAAAAGAAACTAACTGAATTGAAAAAAGGAAAAAGTCAAAATGTGATCAAAACTAACCATAATGAAAAATCCATTGGTCTAAATTGTCCATGACTGTGAATGAATGGTTGTTTGTGTATATTGACTGGGTACTAGTTGATGGTGTATCTTGCCTCTAGCCCAAATTCAGCTGGTATCGGCCACAGCTGCTCTGTGACCGTACTGAAGACAGACGCTCGAGAAAATGGACAGTCAACAAATAAGGCAACAGTCCAAAATCATGTACTTTCGGAAAAATTCCATCCATTCATTTTCTGATCCGTTTTATGCTCACAAGGATCGTGGGGGTTGCTGGATCCTATCCCAGCTTTCTTGGGGCAGTAGACGGGGGACACCCTGAACTGGTTGCCAGCCGATCGCAAGGCATAGAGGAACAACTATCCGCTCTCACAATCACACCTAGGGACAATTTAGAGCGTTTCATTGGCCTGCCATGCATATTTTTGGAATGTGGGAGGAAACCGAAGTACCCGGAGAAAACCCACGCATGCATGGGGGGAACATTGAAACTCCACCGTGAAAGTCTGTAGCCAGAATCGAATCCAGCACCTCTGCACCGTGAGGCGGGCGTGCTAACCAGTTGCCGCCTTCTTTAGGAAAATTGTTAACTGCACATTTTTTTGGAGGTCTGAAAAGTTGTTTCTAGATGTGGCTGTGCCTGGGGAAACTCGGACACCATTCCAATCCCCCCACGCGTTGACGCCCCTGGCTGCGGGTCCAGATGTCAAATTGTTTACTCTTATCTGTCAGATGAGGCAGAATGTATCAGATAAATTGCTAGCAGACCTGTTGGTCACCGAGAGAAAGATTACATTAATACCATCCAAATCCGTGTGCCAGATAAAGCGCCCTGTCGCCATGTGGAGTTCTATCTCGTACTTGAACACATGTTCACGTTGGCCTTTAGCTAGTAACAGCTGAGGCACCTAATGAGGAAGACTTGTTTGTTTTCAATACCATTCGCTATCATTCTTCTTTTGCCTTTTTACTCCTTGCCCATTTCTCCATTGATTCAAACCATTTCAATTTCACCACCTCATTTCGGACATCCTTGCAACCATTTTCCACTTCCTCCAAATTCGCACTTTTCACATTTTACACACACACACACACACACACACACACACACACACACACACACACACACACACACACACACACACACACACACACATTCACTAAACAAGTTCCCCATTATTCTCATTCCAGCTTTAAACTGTTAGCTCATTTTAGAACATGACAGGACCTATTTTTCCATATGCTAATAATTCCCAGATTCTCAAACTTCAACAATTTTCACAATAAAAGTTATATCCATGCATCCATCCATCCATCCATTATACGAGCCACTTATCCTAATGGGGATCACGGGCGTGGTGGAGCCTATCCCAGCAGGCTCCGGGCAACAGGCGGAGTACACCCTGAACTACAAGTAGTTGTCAGCCAAATGCAGGGCACACTGAGACAAACAACCATCCACACTCACACTCACATCTAGGGACAATTTGAAGTGTTTCATTAACCTGCCGTGCATCTTTTTGGAATGTGGGGGGAAACTGGAGTACCCGGAGAAAACCCACGCAGGCACGGGGAAGATGCAAACTCCACACAGGAAGGCCGTAGCCGGAATCGAATCCTGCACCTCTGCACTGTGAGGCAGGCGCGCGAATCAGCTGACCATCGGGCCGCCCCAGTTTATTATTCACAAGCAATTTATTCCCAAAATGGATTCTCGCGTTTTCTTCACTTCCTTAACAAAATCAAGAATATTTTTTGCGGAGTTCTATTTGTAATGAGGAGAAGGAAGCAGGATTCGCGCAACAGCAGCGATCGGGTATCTGCGGGGTTCCAGTTTCACTGAGTCAGCGTGAATACAATGAGCACAATGTCACTCCTTCAGTTACCTGCCAGGCAATGACAGATTTCCAGTGTCCGAAAACAAAATAACATATTCTGTTCTACTGCTGCATTTGGGTCAGTCACGAAGCGCTTCTGTTGTCCATGAGGCAACTTGTCTAAGTACAACCAAAAATAGGAGAAACACAATCATAAAAGTATTTGATTGTTGAGTACATCATGCCTCACGCTTCCAGAGAAGAGCAGGATTAAAGGAAAACACGAATCAAGACGTTAATCCACGCATTGAAGGATTAGATCTGTGTTCTTCTACTTTGGAACATTGTACTCTACATATCTTAATCTACATCATTTTCACATTGCAGCTGGGTGGCACTTTCTATTTCACTGCTTCCCATTGACAGACAAATGAACGCATCATGCCACCTTCAATTGTTCAGTAAAAAGGTGAATGAGATTACCATGTAAATTTATGCTCACAGTTGTCATGTATGCATATATTCTTCTTCTTCTCTTAGCTAAACACATAATGAGATTTTAAAAAAAACCTGAGTCGAGATGCTAATTAATGCACATTGATAAGGATTTGTCATTTCTCTCTGTGTCTGCATAGTGTTTCCAATACAAACCGATACAATGCCAATATGCTAACAAAGTGTATGCTAAATGATGCAAGACAACAACAACCTGATAAGAGAAAGTGCTGAGGCAGACTGGTTCTCATTTTCGGTTATCCTGTGTCATCTGTGTGTTGTGACCTGTGGTCATCAGCCTACCCGTACTATTTCAGATGACTTTGTTTTCATATGTGTGACAATCTACACATAAGAGTTTTCTCATTTCATTTTCACCTTGGCAAAGGTGTCGTATTTAGCTGTACACACTTTCTCCAAACGGCACAGCATTTATTACAATAAACAACAAACACGACACAATGTCTCTGTTGAGCGTTTTCAACGCAAAGCACTGTGATGTATGTGTACGAGTGGCCAGCAGGGAACGCAAACGACCTGTTTTAAAAGTGAAGAAGCTTGAGGACTGCTAAACCTGGAATTGCATTGTACACTGTACTTACGTTGTTTCGGAATGTGAACCTTTTAAATTTAAATAGTTAGTAAACCCCTCACAATTAAAAAAATATTTTTCTTGTACCTTTTCAAGAGCAATGATACACAAGGTAAAGTGCAGTGACTGTTCAAAGTGTTTAAGAGTGCTGAATACATATATGAAACCCTCAAAATATCTCAACCCACATTCATTAATGTTTAAAAAACAACAAAGTATCCAAAATTGAGACCAATTAGCCATTTTTCCTCCCAGGTATCATGTGGCTCACAAGGTTTCTTGTGTCAATGAGGCGGAGGTGCGTTACATTATTGCTAAATAAATATTTACAAAATATGAGAAGTATCCGAACTTTTTTGAGGTGCTGTATTGAAAAAAATAGAACAATAACTTCACTGCATAAGGAGCGCCGCATGGTGTGCAAATTCCACTCCTGGCTTCCTTACAATTATGAGGTTTGGTTTTTATACTGCGCTCTTGTCATCCTGCGTGGAGTTTGTGTTGGTTTTCTGTGGGTATTCTGGCTTCTCCCACATTCCCAAAACATTCACGTTAGCTAAACTGAAAAAAAAAATCACCAAGTTTATAAAATCAGACTTAAAAAAATCATGAAAAACCAAGCCTTTGTCTCTTCTCTCAAACACTATTAGCTTGTCATCTGAATTTGAGAAACCACGCCCTGCTGAAAAATGGATGTTCTCTTGTCCAGCAATTTTTTCAAAAGTTACACACCCGGACATGCTTGATGCGGGTTGATATAGCGTGTAACTGTTTTTTTTTTCCCATTTCAGTTTTTTTTCCAGCTCACAACCTTGCAGGGCTTCTCTCTAGTGAAATGATGAAAATCAATTTTGAGAAGTATATAGGTTTCAGTCTTGGCACATTTTCAGCAATTCTCTTAAAAAAAAAAAATATATATATATATATATATATCACACACACACACACACACACACACACACACACACACTTACATACACACACATCCGTTTTCCGTTTGTTTGTATATGTGTGCTCTGCGATTGTCTGGCAACCAGTTCAAGATGTCGCCCACCTACTGCCCGAAGACAGGCTCCAGCATGCCCGCTACCCTTGTGAGGATAAGCGGATTAGAAAATGGATGGATAGATGGATGGATGGATGGATGGATGGATGGATGGATGGATGGATGGATGGATGGTCTTAAAGTCCAGCAAGAAGAAAGTATTCGGGATGGAGTGTGGACCCCTGGAGCTGTTTGTGCATGTGACAGACAGAGGTGTTAACAAAGCAGACAGTGGCACAGTATGGTGCCTCCTTCACGCCCGCTCGACGCCTCTTCTCAAATTCAACCTGGCATCTCCGAGTCTGTAACAGGAAGTAGCTCGTGGTCGCATGGGTCACCACTGCAGTGGGTCCAAAGACTGGATATCCTGCAGAAAATTCATTAGTGTCTACTGCTAGATTTGTGGTTCTGAACCCAATGTGCCATTGGACTGTTACATGTTCACCTCGACAAGTGTGAACCCATTCCTAATTGAAAAAATCAGCACAACCACTATCATGGCCACCATCATCACTGTCATACTTTGTCGGTAGAGAGGTAGGGAGGTAGGTAGGGAGGTAGCTCGCTCGCTTGCTCGATCGATCGATAGATAGATAGATAGATAGATAGATAGATAGATAGATAGATAGATAGATAGATAGATAGAAACATGGACATATAGAAACATGGACAATAGATAGATAGATAAATCTTCAATAATGATTTCTGTGCCACCCCCCGCCAAAAGAAAAAAAAAACAACAAAACAAAATTAAAACTGTGATTGCTACACTTTTGCCGCATTGTTACAATTGCAATACGCTCCTTTTCCTCCCCCACTCCTTCTTTGCTTGTTTGTCCAGCATCTAGGTCAAGGTTGTGTTCAAGAGGAGCACGAACACATAAACAAGAGCAGTATTTTAGTCAGCTCAGTGTGTGATCGCCCTGTGAGATGTCAGAGCTTTTAGGTGGGATGGATGTGAGAGCTTTGGCAGCTTCCTAGAGAACAGAACA